CGCAACGCCACAGGCGTAGCTTCTCTCGTCGACTCCGACTCGCCGACGTCGTCTCAGACTCGCTGCCTGTTTGTTGCCTCGAATTTCTTTCAGCTGCCGACTCGAATTTCCTTCACTTGCCGCCAAGCAGCCACTCATCACCGTCTTCATGGCCGAGGCTGAACCATCTCCTCAGGATCCATCTCCTGCTTTGGGGACACTCGCACCCGTAGTGGAGGTATAAACTGAAAACCCTAATTTTGAATCTATGCTTTCAGTTTCAAGGGGAAAGATCTAAATTTTTTAGTTCTTGATGCATGCTACTAAATTGTACATTAGTGAGAAATAATTAGCTTAATTAGATTTTATGATTAAAAATAGATTTTCAGGGGGACTACAAATTAGATCATAAAAAATACACATTCTCACAAATTAGAACCGAACAAACCGAACCGAACAGAACCGAACCGACTTGTAACAATCAAGGTTTTAAATATCGGTTATCGGGGATTTATCGGATGGCCAAAATCCTTATCGGATAGCGAAAATCGGGGATATATCGGGGATAAGTAGTATTTATCGGAGTGATATACTGGATGGTATATATATAATATAATATAAAAACAAAAGTTAAAAACTCAACAAAAAACAAAAATCAAGTAAATCCCGCTGGAGATAATTCACGGAGTAGATAATTTACGGAGATTCTTCACAACAAGTCTCACAAGTAGATAATATTTGTTTAAAGAACAACAAAAATCAACTTAAAAAAAACAGAAATAGTTCGAAGGCGAGAAGAACTGATACATGTTCAAGTAAATCTCGTTGGAGTTCGAAGGCGAGGCGAGCGAAGTTCACGGAGATTCACGAAGGCAAGGCGAGCGACGAGATTCACGAAGGAAGTAAATCTCGTTGGAGTTCGAAGGCGAGGCGAGCGAAGTTCACGGAGATTCACGAAGGCGAGGCGAGCGACGAGGTTCACGAAGGCGGAAGCAGAGGCGAGCGACGAGGTTCACGGTTTGAAGTTCACGAAGGCAAGCGACGAAGAGGCGCAGAGAACATGAGATGGAGATAACGAAGGAAGAGGAAGAGCCCTCTGAGAAAAGGAGCAGCCGCCAGAGACGAAGTTTAGGGTTTGAAGGTCGGATTCACGAAGTTTCGGGTTTTAAGTTTCATTTTATTAACAAAACGGGTCAGGTCGGGTTTAAAAACTCAACAATCCAACTCAAAATGTCTGGCCGATAATCCCGATAATCCCGATAATTTAAGCCTTGCTTATCGGCCGATAAGTGCCGATAACGCCAATAACTCGCCGATAAACTCTTCAAAACGATAACCGATTACAAAACCAACTTATCCTAGTAGAGAGAGCTCCCAAATCCGATAACTCGGTCGATAATATCGATTATCGACCGATATTTAAAACAATGGTAACAATTCGGTTCGGTTTTGAATAATGGGTGTTTCAATTCGGTTTTTCAAAATTTGATAAAACCTGAACCGACCGACCATTTGCACAACCCTAATGGCTATCATATTGGGGTCGTGTTATGCTAATTTTGATAGCACCCAAGATGTGAACGTTATATGTCCAATTTAATTACTGGGCTAATTGCAGATAGACCCCCTTTACTTTATACCATAATTGTGGATAGACGCCCTATGGTTCTACTGGTGGAAACTAGGGATAGAACCCGACTCTTTTAAGAACAAAAAATTCACTCAAGGGGTCTATCCGTACGCATAGAGTCTATTTACAATAGGGTGATAGTACAATGGGTCTATCCGCAATTAAACTTTTAAAACTTGTATTTCTAAATTGAAAATTCATACATTTGGGTGAGATGTAAGACTCATAATGCCTAGAAACAACATTTCCAAATATTTCAATGCCTTACTCATAATGTGTCACATGGTAAAAATATTAATGCATAAATTTCACATAATCCGCAAAAAGTTTGGCTCATCTTGAGATAACACCAAAACCATTCAAGAATTTCTGCATATATACCCCTCAAATCTTTCATATTCGCAAAATTACCCCCCAAAACTTTGTATTTGCAAAATTTTCCCCAATTCCCTCACATTGATTTTTCCCACTCTTCCATATAACAATTTTAAATTTTTTAATGCGTAAGTGTTGCAAACCTATTGGAAATTATTGGGAATTTTGCCATTGACTTGTCTAAAAAGCATCATTCTTAAGTTGGAGCAGTAGAAAGATCTAATACGCAAGTTTTGATGGGTAATTTTGCAAATACCAAAATTTGAGGCGTAATTTTACAAATATTAAATATTTGAGTATATATGCAAAAAACCATAAATTTTTAAAAGATCACATAACACTAAGAAAAAAGTTGTCAGATAACCGCAAAGTTTTCCCCAAATCTATCAGATAACACCCTAATCTAACAATGTTTCTTTTTTTCCCCTTTTTTTAACATTCTTATAAGTTTTTGGTGTTATCTCAAATAGGCCACACAACTTTTGGGGTTATTTGAAATTTACCCAAAATTCATCTTTATAAAAAATTTGAAATGTTGTTTTGACAACATAAGGTACATGATCAAAACACAATGAAATCATTCAAGATCCTATTTCTAAATATTTAATATGTAGTATATCACATCAAATGATATAAATTTACAATTTGGAAACCCAAATTTTAGATATGGTTTGACATTTTCTACATCTTGGATGCTATAGATAATACCGCAGCTCAACTCCTCATATTGTATCTTATTATAAAGATTGTTCGCAACATGCACAATAGAGCTAATTTATGACGTACCATAGTGAGGATTATGGTACGGCGGCAACCTTGGAATCACCTTTGCTGAGCAGTTCAGGTTAAGATAATGATACATGATATCCTATAAAAGATAAGACGGATTCATTAATAGAAGTTATATCGGCATCTTGCTATAGCTTTTGAATGTACGGGTATCGTAGCATAATACAATCACATGATAACAAATATATAACAATAAATAAGAAACATTAAATATCACAATAAATCATAGGTACCAAATAAGATTTTGCAAGTGTTTGGCTTGTTACAACGGGAAGTGTTGTAACTATTGACTTTTTGGATCAGGTGCAATTATTTGTTTCAATGCAACAAAAAGATTTAGTTGCAACTATACTTGCAAATAAAGGTTGAGTTGCAACAGATGGTTAAACCTAAATTTCTATTGCCATTGAATTAAGTTGCAATTGGGGTTTTAAGATGCAACCTCAACTGCGACCAACCGAACCAAAGTCTTAACGACCCTTCTCATCACCTATTTTCTCTTTTCTTCTCCCCCCTTCCCCTTTGTCATTTCCTCAAGCCCTAAACTCTCTTTTGATTTCTTTAATAAAATCTGATTTGATCTTTAAAAGCTGATTTCTTGCATATTCGAGCATTGATTCATTGATGTCATCGTCATATCTCTCCCCCTCTTCAAGTGGAAAGCCAAGTCTCCTCAAAGTTGATGTCTTTGAGATGTCATCGTCCTCGTATATAACTAGAGCGCTATAGAAACCTGAGCCACTAGTAGGACGTGGACCGATGGATGGTAAAAATCAATGGGTAAGGGTATTTTAGGGATTTGGCCTCCTGTATTTAGAGACAAGAATACAGAGTAGAGAATTTTGGTGGAAAAAGAAAATCACGAGAGCATAATTATTAAATGAGTTAAGGAAAATGTAATATTTTCAAGAAGAATGTACTAATAAAGTTTCTATTTTAAAAAATAAGGTGGTAGACTGCTATTGGCTATTTGAAATTTTGATGTTTCCTTTCGGTCACTTAAAAATGAGCACGGCTTAGTTATTTCTTATCCAAAAGGTGGATTTCCTTGCTGTTATCGAAGAGATGAAGACATTCTTGGGAGATGTGGATGATTCTTTGCTAGTGATCTAGAGTTGGTAAAGCGATTGAAAGGGGAACATGAAGCAAACAATCATTAATTATGCACTTCTCAAACGAAAAAGCAATTGGGTTCATGATCATAAGCAACTTGGGCATATGAAAACGACATTTCTTATCATGTCATCTCTACATATTTATTTGCTAAGTCATGAATAGCTATGGGGAGAATATGATCCTGTTATGAACCGCCAAAGATGTACATATTGCTAGATTCCTTTGCACACATAGGGCGCAAATAATATAGTTTGGCGTGCAAGATCATGAGCAGGTCATATCACTCTAAAAGACAAAGTTCTAAAGAATCTCATATTGGACGGTAAATTTTATAGACTTGTGAATGCTTATAGTTGATGCTTTAAGTTGCAAGCTTTAAAGGCCCAATCAGTAAGGGTAAGTCTCTTATCATCCTTATGTAGTCATCGCAGGGAATTGTCATACATGTGACACATTTGTGACAAGGAGATTGACAAACCAAGAGGCATTGTGATTGCTATCATCTCATTGGGTTTGCTATACATACTCTAATGATGTGTGGATTAACAAATGCGAGCTTGGGCAAAACACGAAGGGAAAGATACTAAAACCACATGGATAAGTGACACCTAGAATTCAGTAAGCAAAACCTTAAATGTTTATGCTCTTATTTTTTGGCTATTAAGATTTATTGATAGAGTTTATCAACTCTCAATAGACTTTGTGACGATAAGCTTAAAGATATGAAGGACATTATGGATGTTTATAAGAATACGGATAGTTACTTCAAAGAAAATAAAACAAGTGATAGGCTATTCAATATTTTGCACATTACGACTTATCTCTCAATCCTTACTATTTTCATAAGAACGACGCACTGAAAAACTGTAGTCATGCTAAAGATGGTTTCTGGATGTTAGATTTATTTTATCACGATATAAACCCAACAATTGATATCTCTATATATGAGTTGGAGAAATACAAGAAAGGCAAGGGATCATTTGCTAGGGCAATCACTCTGAAGTAACGAAAGAAATTTGGTTTTATCTTGATAAATTAATTTTAAAAAAGCAGAAGTTTTTTTATAAGCATCCTCGGATTGCTTCTAAAAGCACCCACTTAAAAAGCAGAAGCAATTTCAATAAGCATGCCAAAAAAAATTCACTAAACACCATTATTGGCTGCTTCTTTAAAAAAATAAGCAAAAGCACCCTAAATAAAGCAATACCAAACTGCTCCTTAATCATGTAAAGCTCTTTGTTACGTTTTACATAATGTTTACCTTCAAAGTGAAAATCAAATCTATGTAAAAGTAAGTCCAGCGAGATCTCCGTAAAAGAAGCAAAAGTGAGCGCAAGAGTAAACAACAATGAGAACAGTAAGCAAAGAGCAAAAGCAGCTTATCATAACCAAACTAAAAGATACCATGATATCCATGGCATAAGACAGACTAAGGACCAAACAAATTAACTCATAGAAACAAACTCAAGGTGGCATAATAGTACCTCAATTTCTGTCGATGTGAAGGAGCGATCAAAATTGTGAAGGAGCACTAACGTTCCCTGTTCATGAGCCTTTTGTATCCTACTCTCCCAGGACTGCAATTTGTGCAAGACAGATTTAAAGTGGTTAAAAATTTTATTTTCTCTAGTTAAATATTTGTATAATGCATTAAAGAATGAGTATTAACTCTACTGGGAAAGCACTTACAAGTCCCTTGAACCATTTGCTCCTATCCTGCGAATACCCAAAAAAGATTCACAAAATGAGTTTTTCTACATCCTATGTAAAATAATAATAATAAACACAGGAGAATCGTATTTATCAAGAAATGGGAAGTTCCAATGCAAGAATTTGGAATGGCATGATTTTATGAATATATGGGTGCAAAATACACAATTTAATTGCAGAAAACAAACAAAATAGTAGCAATTACACCATAATGAATTATACTTTCAATCCAAATCTTTCTTTTTTATTTGAGCAGAACACCCATTTTTGTTTATTTATAACTGTGATGTTGTAACTTTGTGCAAATTAATCAAGTTTCAAAAAATTGCAGAGCAAACTATAACCATCTACATTAAAAAAACATATTAAGATCTTCAGATTTCAAAGTTAACAGAAAAAAAATGGTGGAGGATCTACACCCAATGCTAATATATAAACTATTGATTCCTACCACATGGAATACTCAAACAATGAAAACCCACAACCATGCTAACAAATATTAAACCTTCCTTCCCCCTGGCATAAGCTAATATGGTTCCTGTTCCATGCTTTGTTGATGCTACTTAACACACAATGCTTATGAGTCTGAAAATTATTCTTAGCATGTAACAAAGCAGCCAAAATAATCCATACTTCAAAACAAATGTTTGTTCTTTCATATATCTGAAAGGTGGTTGTTAAGGTTGCTAATCTAGTTTCAACAAGTATCCCTAAATTTTGGACTGAAGCTATGAAACGGCTTCTGTTGATTGAGAAAAAGCCTCTTAAAAAAAGAGCTGAATAAAGGAAATGGTTTAAAATGACTTTTTGTTCTCATCGTTATGACTTAGTTTGCTCTTATTTGTGTTACTTGTAAGAATCATGATGTATGATAGAACTCACCGTGTCTGGTCTTCGACTTACTTCAACCATCTGAGACTCTGCTTTTGTGTTATTTTTCACTGGAAAAGCAGAAGGCACATTCTGCAGCGATTCGCTGGATGAATTGACTTTCTTCTCAATCAGCTTCATCTTTTCAACATTCTCTTTGTGCAAGGAGATTGAACCTTTAGCAGAATCATCTTCATCAGATTTATTTGAATCAGTAGCATGTTTGTTCTTTCGTAAATCATCAGGCTTTGCAGAATCATCACTGATTCTCATCTTCTTGGAAGGTTTATCATTAGATGCAAAGCTATTAGTGCCTTCTATATCTCGAGAAGACTCAATTTTTGATTTTGTAACACTAGTCCCCACAAGACGACCTTCAACTTCAGCTTGACGCTTCTTTGTGATGGCTTTATCTTTTGATGATAAGGTAGGTCCAGGTTTATCAATCTTTACCTTGTTCTCCTCTGATTTTAAATTCTCTGAATTCGACAAAGCAATTGAAGCAGTACCTGCGTCTGCTTTTCCCTTAATATCAGTGCCATTTTCTTCGGTTATGGAAACAGGGCTTCTTACTTGGTCGTCCTCTCGGTTGAGAAGAGATTTAACTAAGAAAATTCACACACGACCAATTAGGGAGATGGAACTCATCCTTTCATACCACAAAAGGTGATGTAATAAGATGCATTACCTTCAATCCCAGCAATCTTTTCTGGTAATTTATCTGATATTATAAATTTCCCAACATCAAAAGTGCGAGAAAATAAGAAATCAGCCCTTTGCAATGCATCCTTGGAAGGCTGTGGGTTCCTTGTATCTTCTGACGTGCAGATTACGGAGCATTTGGCAGCTATAGATTCCTGGGGGAAACAGAATATTAAAATATATACATCTGACATTATGAAGGAAGTTAAAGGGGCAACATCAATTGCACATGCCAAACACCAGGCGTTCATCAAAGAACTTTTTAAAAAAGGGTTGTCTCAAGATAATATGCAAAAATACAGATGATTAATAATTTCAGAACTTTGTAGTTTGTAGGCAGCAAAATGAAAGAAGTGGTATGAAAGATGAGGGGAAAATAAGATGAGGAAAAAATACGATGTGATGTCATTTAAAATTTGAAGTCCTCTCACTTGTACTTGCAGCACGATTGGCCCGAATTCAACATAAGAGTGACTGACTGCAGATAAAGATCTACTATCTAAGCAGCTTGAAGTGTGTTCCGTAATCTGACCATTAACAAAGCAGCAACTCAGAGCCTACAGGCCTCCGTATCAACTTCATTGTATGTGGAGCCTCTGTATAGTGGCCCATCAGTTGATGATTCAAATTTGTCATGATGCATTTGGATTATTCAATATTCACTAGTTTAGAACAGTTGAAATCTACGGTTTTTTAACCCATTACTGCTTCAGATAAGATTGGTCAGTTTAGTTGGTTTAAGAGACATTTTCATAACTAATTTAGAGACGCTTCTATTCTTCATACTTTATTCTATCTTCATTTAATTTCTTAGGAAACTTTACATTTCCCTTTTCCTTGCTCATCCCCTGCAAGTGTATCGGAGCTATATTAATCTAATAGAAATTACTAGTCAGACTGCGTTAAACATTTTGTTTTTCCAATATTAAAAAAAATAAGCTTGTGGACCACAGTCCAAACTATCTAGCAATATATCTAGATAATGAAATGTGTCCCATTTACCAATTTCATAAGAGTGCCCTTCATGTGTCTAAATGTGTGTGACTGTGTGTATGCAATATGTAGATCCAAACATGTGTGCTGTGTGCTGCAAAGAAACATGCCAATTCTGAGCATTAAACCATCTATCTCTTCTATAAACAGGAATTACCAATATTACGGAAGGCGATAGGCGGATTAGGCTTTTGAGCCAGCGCCTAACACCTAACACCTAGACGCCTAGACCTAAGCCTGGGTGGTGTCTAGACGTTTAGCTATTTTTTAAATTATTTAATTATAATAATTGATAAAATTTTGTATTAGATTCATATAAATTTGCCAAAAAAAGATAGCAATTTTAGATCCACAATAAGCCATGCATATTTAAATACTAAATAGCCAAAATAATAACTAATAAGGTTATAGAAATTGCTATGAGGCCTAGCCGTTAGACCCGACGCCTAGAGCCTAGGAGGTTTTCTTTTATTTTTTAATTACAATAATTGATAGTAAATGGCAATGACTCGATGTTATAGAAAGCTTAGGTGTCAGACTAGTGTCTAGGTGGATTTCTTTCTTCATTTAAGCGGTGGTCAAGGACGTTTTGCTGAAGGTTGGAGGGGTAGTGAAGGTGTTCATATTTGTTGGTTAAAGAAGTTTGAAAGAGGTTAGAGGACGTGGAGGCTTCAACACAGAAAATCATGATCAAAGCCTAAAGGTGCAGTCCACATAAGCAGACAATGCTTCCCTAAACATTTCTAAAACCTAGGTGAGTAGCCTAGGTACCGCCCAGGCGCTAAGCGCTAGTTAGGCGGCTTAGGTACCACCTAGGCCTAGGCGTACGCCTAGTCGGACTAGGCGGAGACTTTTTAAAACAGTAAAAATTACTTAGATTTATAAACTCGGGCTATAGAATTGCGATATTCAGAATGGATACATGATAGATACTTCACAAAATTTATAAACTATCCCCAAAATGATATATAACTATGTATTACAAGCATCTCAATTAATACACAAAATATTGATGAAAATAGAGGAAATACAAACTCAGCCAATTAAACGATGGACCCAAGTATAATTTACCAGCGGATTAATATTTGCGAGGCCGACACCTTCTCCGGATGCTAAAAATATCTCCTTCTCTGACGGTTGATAATCCCCTAAATAGTTAACAATCTCACTGGGCTTGAAAAACCACAAGATCTTAACTTTCTTCTTTCCTTCGCCGTGCTCCCAAATTTTCACTATTTTCCCAATATACGGCTCGGTTTCGCCCCTCTTGAAAAGATACACAGAATCGTACAACCTGTAATCTACTTCATCAAATGTGAAAGATTCGTAGAACTGAACATCCTTCTTCAAACCGCCAACTCCTCTCTTTAAGCCCCATTCGAACTGAAGATCACCCTTTTTTGGTTCCTCTTTCTTTAATTTATCTTTCTCTTGTTTTTCTCCCATTGAAGAAACCAAGTCCCTTTAAATACCAAAAAATCAAAACCCTCAACATGGAAATTGGTCAACAAAGAGATAATGCCAAGTATTTAATAATAATTAACTACTGGTCTGAAAACTAGGGCGAAATTTTCCATAAAAGGAAAGGCTCACCGAGGTCGGTCGCGGACGGCGGTCCGCGGCGGAGGAAGGCCTACGACGGCGGAGGAGAAAGATTGGCGCTGGCGGTCCGGCTCTTCCACGGAGAAGGGATAGAGATTGAGCATTAAGATTTAGGGTTTTACTTCGGGTTCGATCCAATTTCAAACATTAAAACCCGAGACCAGAAGGCCCGCTCAAGCAACCCTAGGCTTGACAAATGATAGCGTTTTTAACTAGGGAGGCGCTACAGGGAGGCTACAGACACCCCTTACTCATACCACCAACCACACTGTCTATGCTACAGTGCAGCGGTCCTGTATGTGATTTTTTTTAAAATTACATGTGGGACCGCTCCACTGTAGCATAGACAGTGTGGTTGGTGGTGTACCTAAGAGTGTGTCTTTATCATTTTCTTTTTAACTATCTACCCTTTAAATCTACTTCACTATGCAAATGGAAGAACCCAAAATTCATTATTCATACTATAGTAAATGCTATAATAATATTTACTGTATCATTATTACTATAGCAAACAGGAAACGAAAAGATGTGGTACTTTAAAAAAAAGAACTGTAGCACACGAGAATACTGTAGTGTTTTTTGAAAAAATTGTAGCTGAAGCGGGATGTTGTAGTAATACAAAAAAAAATAAAAAAATAATGTTATAGTATTTAAAACCGGGATTACTGTAGCAGGGAAAAAAATAATATATCGTATGTCGTGCTTTGCACGGTGTTCACACTAGTGTATTATATTTGCAGACGTTTTCTGCGAATATGACAATTTATCAATTTGCCCCAAATATCTAAGATTGATTTGAATTACCCCTTTCTATTTCATTTTTTTTGAATACCCTTCTTATTTAATCCTTGTTTTCTCAAGGATAATTCCTACTAAACTGCATCTTTAAACTAGCCCTACATTATTATACACAAAAATGTAGGTCCTTCCAATTTTAATTGCCATCAAAGTTGATGAGTTATTAAAGACCCCACAATCTTGAGTGTAGTAGTTTAGAAGTAGTTTATAAAGTATAATCTAGTTATCAGTCTCTTTTCTCAAAAGCAAAAGATAATATGGCAAGTATAACTTCTTTATATCACAAATTATGTTCGTCTTTTATCTTTGAGTTTTTATATATTGACCATTGTCCTTTAAACCTTGGAAATTGCGTATTAGTTCGGGGTCTTACAACATAATGCTTCTAGTTAACACACGTTAAATTTGAGGGGAATATTCCATCACATCTAACAATTAGAGTGATAATTATACCCCTCTATTATGTTCTCAAACTTAGCATAAAACCTAATGCCTGCTTTTTAAAAAAACCTAAACCCTGGTTGAGTTCTTTTTCTTCAATAGCTACAAAAGAATCTTAATCCAAAGTTAAGATTCACGAAGGTTTGGAAAATTAGAGAAATGAATAGTTTGGTGATTGCTTATGTTGGAAGAGTGTTGTATTTAAAGAAAGACTGACGTCCACAATCTTCTAGTTCTCTTGACCATATGACCGACACGTGTTATGCATACATGTGGAATAAGAAAAACAAAATCAGATTTACTTAGGGTGTGTTTGACAATTCGAAAGTGTAATAAAAATGTGTGAGTTACTTTTTATTGCAAATGACTTTCACATCTATGTCAGCATACAAGTGAAATACAATGTTTGTTTGAAAAATTAATTCCTTTTAGAATCATGTGTGGTTAGCCATCCGTGTAAAGTTCTATATGCTTTAATTTGCATTCAGCTAAAAAAAAGAGAAAATAAAAAAGGGGGGAAAAAAGAAAACTTCTTCCACTAACAAGATCAAAACCTAAACTAAAAGAATACTAACATTTAAGCATAAAAGGACATACATGTTGAAAGAGATGAAGTTGCTATGAAATTTGTGTGATTTTTTGTTTATTTATAGGCATTAGATGTTGCATGTGCGAGGATAATAATTGCAAATAGAATTCTCTTAGGAAAAGGAAACTTCAAAAAAAACTTAATATGTTAGGATAATAACTTATAGGCAAAATGGCCAGATTGATATATTTTCTCAAGGCTTGGTGAGAAGTTGGTATATTTCCTTTTAGTTTTATCAGATTGGTATATTTTCCCAACCCCGGAGCCATATAGGCCTTAAATTTAGCCAGAGTTACTGTTTCGGCTAGTACTGATGGAATTTTTTGCATAAAACCCCCTCATCAAATACAGTTTCCTACTCCTAACCCCCATCTCCCTCATCCTCCTCTTCAACCTCCCACTCTCCCTCATCCTCCTCATCAGGGCCGGCTCGGAGGGTGTGCAGGGTGATCGACCGCACAGGGCCCCCGAAAATTGAGGGCCCCCGAAAATTTTACCTAATCGCCTTCAGCTTCTCTCCAAGCTCCGAACTTTACCCTAGGCCCCTAGCCTTCTCCCAACTTTCGACCTCTCTACGTTCAGCTCCTCTCCTCAAGCTCCGATCTCCATCTCGATCTCTCCAAAAATTAGGGCTTTGGAGGTTCACACTAGCAGAGGCCGTCGCATTGGGCGAGTTGGTGCCTCTGAGGTCGAGGAATCGGTGAGATATTTGCGTTTTTGTTGTCAAAAATTGAATCTTTGTCTTTTTTATGGCATTAGCAATTTGATCTTCAGATCCGACCCATTTCTCAACAGTGAGTTTCCTCTCATTCAATCTAGTCAAAATCTCATTTTGACATTTATTTCATAGATTTTCTTCATTTAATTTCTCATAGTTCTTTCTGGGTTCCTGATTGTTTGATTCTTTTGGTTGATTTATTGCATTGTTGTTTGTCGGTGGCTAGTAGTAAAATTTACTGGAAAATATGTAGTTCAGCTGCAAGTGTGTAATGGGTAATGGATTAAATGTTGTCCCATGCATTTTCTACAAATTCTACAATTTTTGGAGTGTATTTGATTGATGGGTTTTTCAATTTAGATTGTCTGGAATCAATGTATCTATCTGGGTTCAAGCCATATTTGCACTTTTATTGGTATTATTCAGAGTTTGATGCTTAGGCCTCTTTGGTGTTTAATGTTTTTAATATGGAGATGTGTGGCTTGATAAAAATGCTTTATAAAAAAAATCCTATAACTAAAAAGGGGGGGAAATCAAGTTGTGCAGTATTAGTATGATTGTTACAGTTGATAACTGATGTTTTATGGGTTTTGTTTATTTGCAGGAATTTACTTCATATTGGGTAGTTTCTGTTTAATTTTATCAGATCTTGGGGTCTTGAGAGGCAATAGAGTTTTAATTGCACTGATATAATCTCCAATAGCGTGAAGTATTGGATGTGGTTGTAGGTGAAAATATCTTAGGATTTGGTTAGTTTCCACAAATATGAGGAGGAGAGCAGATGGATTTGTGCTGCTGTGCTCTTTATAGTCTTTTTATTCGTTTATTATGGATCTTTCTTCGACCCTCAAGGACAGCATGCTAGTAGAGCTTTGAGGGCTCTTGTTCGTCTCCCGAAGCATATGCACAAGACGAAGAAGATCTAAGAATTTGGAAAGAGATGAGTGCTCTTGTTGAGAGAATGTGCTAGAAAATTGCAGCAAAAAGGAACCAAACTGTTATTTGGGTAAAACCTTTGACTAATGATTGTTACTATAATAGGGAACCTGGAACCCAACCTCCAATGTGCAGCTCTCGTGATGATCTAGATGCAGTTTAGGGTGTTCCAATGAAAGCATGTATTACTCCTTACTCTAAAGGTGAGTATCCTCTCCCTATGAAACTCTTTATCCTCAAAAACCCAAATGATATTGTACTCTTTGTTGGATATATTCTACTCTGATCAGTAACATTTTATTCAGGTGACTGAAGAGATGAAGAATGAGCAATAGCACTTGAAAAGTATGTTAAAGACTATCCAGATGCAAAAAAATCAGGTAACATTTTAATGTCTGATTAGTAACATTTTGTTCCCTAGCATTTTAGGGATTCAAATTTAAATTTATTGATATTTTGTATATAGAGAAGGGACGTGTGTTTACTTTTTGCACAAGGCCCCTAAAATCTCAGAACCGGCCCTGCTCCTCATCCTCTCCCTCCTCCTCCCTCCTCCTCCCTCTTCCCGATCCCCTCCGTCTACTCCTCCCCTTCCCTCCTCTCCTCCTCCTCCTTCGGTCCTCTCCACCTCCGCCCATTCTCTGTCGCTATCCCCCTCTCTCTCCTCCTCTCCCTCCAAATCCCTCTGCCTCTCCCCTCCTCCGTCCTCGCCGTCGTCAACTCCTTCCTCGACTCCTCCTCCTCCTTCCTCCCCTCCTCCTCTCGCTCCGCCCTCACGGCCGATGTTATGTTGAAACAATGGCTACATCTAGAGAGAAAGTCTGGTTTTGGTTTATTGGAAAACAACGAAGATAAGTTTTAACAGCATTCACTTTAAGAAAAAGAGGATGAGCCTGGCATTATTGAAAGAGTGAAGAGTTGAATATCATTGTAAAGGTAGCTTAGAAAACATGACTGGCCCTGGTTATCTTCTTTTTTTTTCCCTTTTCACAATGCAAAGAAATGTCTGTTAGGATGGGAAAAGTTGAACTAATTCATGCAGTTTTTGTTGGTTTTACTTTCCGTTTTGCCAATCATAACCTGTGTATCTTATGATTTGCATCTTAACTTGTTTGCAACATTGAGTTAAGTATTTTCTTATTTATTCAGCAACTTTATCTTGCTGGGAATCAAATTACATCACTTTCTAGTCTTCCTCAATTTCCTAATCTGGAGGTTTGTATGTAATTTGCTTACAACGTGTCTTCCACTCAATATGGCATCATATGTAATGTCTTTATGGTCTGAAATGCTCCCTCTTCTTCTAGTTTTTATATGTTGCTCAAAACAGGTTGAAGTCTCTTGCTATGGCAAGTCAACCTCGCCTGCAGGTTAGTTAAGAATATTATTAATTCTTCTTTCAATCCCTCAATTTTTCTTGAGGTTCCTTTGACCTCCAACTAGGTACTGGCTGCGAGTAAGAACAAGATATCAACTCTAAAGGGGTTCCTGCATTTACCAGTACTTGAGGTTAGTTTTGTAGCTGTCTATTTTTACTTCAATATGGGTGCTGGTTTTCTCTGCCTTTCTAGTCCTCAACTTGCCAAATACTTGTCGTTTTCACATGTGTTATTGCTGATATTACCTTATGAACTTAAGACTATTGAAACTGTTTTCAGCTTCATTGATTCTTAGTGGCCTCAAAATTTAAGGAGCAGAGGACGTCGGCCGCGAGGGCGGAGCGAGAGGAGGAGGGGAG